TTATCTACTCCACCAGTTTGGGAGATGTGTGGTCTTCGAGTCCCCACCGCTCAGCCCAAGGGCGCAATGGGGCATTAGTGAACAAGTGTTTTATTCGCGCAAACTGCAAGAGCAAGAGGCACCGAGCCCTTCAAGGAGTCTTCACCGGGAACATGAACAGACCGGAGCCCCGAAGGCACCGGGCGGGCACGCCGCGCAGCCTCGCTCCCACGCCTCTCCAGGAAGAGGACCCAGTTCACTCTGAGTCACACCGCCACTCCAAGGTTTTGCGTCTGGGAATTTACAACGCGAACCAAGAGCAGCAGGGCAGAGGGCGGAGCCGCAGCCCTTGAGCCCCGCCCCGCCAGGAAAAACCTCACTCGCGACTCACCAGCCACGCCACGCCATCTTTTCTACTGCGCCACGCCGGAACCTGCCGCGGGGTACGCCGGGACTTTGAGAGGGTCACACGCATGCGCAAACGCTAATCCTAAAAGTGGCGTCAGACAAGCGCCGCACTAAAGGACCGCCCTCTACACCTGGTTTCCGCCCTTCGCTAATTGACAGTAGTTCTCGCCAATGAGAAGACAGGATACGCCTGCGTCATGCGCTGGGACCAATCACAATGTCTGAGAACCCGGGGCCCTGGATCTGGGCGTTTGTTAATCCCGTCTATTCAGTTTTACTGATCCTCTGCTTTCATGGCGTTTCCGCTTCTCGTACTGTGCATGGTCCTTGCACCAGCCGTAGCTGGGCACGCATCCTAGTTTCGCAGATGAGGTGACGACAACCATGGTAGAAAGCGTAGCGTTTGCTGCGTGACAGGCATAATTCTAAATATTTACATACTAGCATCTTCATAACAATGCTATGAAGTCAGTACTGTTATTATTTTTACCTTCCAGATGAGGAAACCGACACAGTTTAAGTGAATTTCTAATGATGGAGGTTGGACTAGAACTCATTTCTAACCCAGCGTTTTTTCTCCAAGTTGTTTTCATTTTTAAAAATTACTGAAGTGCCACAAAACATTCTCACTTAAAAATGAAGTGTTTTCATACTTTAACCTCCTTAACTATAATCCCTCCTTAGAGAAAATAACTGTTAATAGTGTGTATCTTTCTGGACTTTAATATATGATTTTCTCCACTTACTATGTCTTCTAAAGTTTTTTCTGTTTCAATGTATCTACCTCATTTTTTTTAAAAAAAGCGATGCATTTAGGCATGTACCACAATATATATTCAATCATTTCTCTTTTGATGGGCATTCAAATATTCCCCTAATTTTCGCATGTGTGTTATTCTGAATTGTATATCCTGGATATATTTTGAACAGGGAGCTGGTGGATTGAGATGTGGAATGTGAAAGAAAGAAGAGCGGGGGATAATAACTAAGACTTGTTCATGGTCTTTCTTTCTGCCTTCAGTCTGGCCCCTTCAGCTATTATTTAGGAAGGCTCTGGTAACACAAATAACGAGCACTAATCCATCAGGATATAAATAGAGGGAGGTGGGATATGAAATAGATTATTAAAGTTTCTTGGGAAAGTACTCCTTCTTTGATTAGGAATAATACCAGAGCAGTTTTATAAACACATAAACTTATCAAATGCATTATGTATTTTGATCCTTACAACGTTCCTGCCAGCCATTATAGTCATTTTACACATGAGGAGACAGAGTGTTACAGAGAGCCACTGACTACCTTAGCTAATGAGTTGCAGAGTGCACCCAAATACTCAAGTCTCTTGACTCCCAGTGTCATGAACTTTCTGAGGTCTCTTGCAGCTTTCCTATTCAAAGGCAAGGTAGTAGATGACTACATTGACAGGAGGGGCTGGGGTGGGGGAGGAGCCTGAGTGTGGGAAGAAGCAAAGGAGGAGCAGTGTTTCTTGGTAGCCCTAGTCAGGTGTCTTCTGAGTCACCTAGAAACTTCTTCAGTGCATGCTTAAGGGTCTTGTTCATCAGGCTGTAAACGAGAGGGTGAAACATGGGTATAACTATGATTAGAACAAGATAAAGATAAAGAACTTGGTCTGATTAAGGACCAAGCTGTTCTTAGGCTAGATTTAGTCAGAGGTGACTGTCTCAAAGAAAATAACACTACCACCCTCAAAAAAAAAATACTAGCAAACAAATTCAACAGTACTTTAACAAAAAGATCATTCACCATGATCAAGCAGACTTCATCTCAGGGATGCAAGAGTGACTCAATACACACAAATTGATAAAAGTCATATATCACACTAACAGAAGGAAGGACAAAAACCATATGATCATTTCAATAGATGCAGAAAAAGCATTTGACAAAATTCAACATCCTTTCATGACAAAAACTCTCAACAAATTAGGTAGAGAAGGAATGTACCCCAACACAACGATATATATGACACATTCACAGGCAACATCATATTAAATGGGGAAGAGTTGAAAGCTTTTCCTGTAAGATCCGGAACAAGACAAGGATGCCCACTTTTGCCACTTCTATTTAACATAGTACTGGAAGTTCTAGCCAGAGAAATTAGGCAAGAGAAAAAAATAGAAGGCATCCAAATTGGAAAGGAAGAAGTTAAATTGTCCCTCTTTGCAGATGACATGATCTTATATACAGAAAACCCTAAATACTCGACTAAAAAACTGTTAGAATTAATAAACAAATTTAGTAAAGCTAGGCCACGTGTGGTGGCTCATCCCTGTAATTCTAGCACTCTGGGAGGCTGAGGCGGGAGGATCGCTTGAGGTCAGGAGTTCGAGACCAGCCTGAGCAAGAGAGAGACCCTAT